GGGTCGCTTGAGTCTCAAACGGCATCGGGTCATTTCCTATCTCGAAAAAGTCCAATAGAAAGGGGGGAAGGTCTTGCTGGGAGGCACGCATCCCACAATTAGTAGATCATAATGGAAAAAAATTCGGGTCAAAAAAGTCAAGTCCCGGGGTAGAAAACCCCGTGAGACTGAAATGTCCGGCCTGTACTCAAATGGTTTTTTGAGTGTAACTTTTTTTTGGAGAGGTGTATTTGGATGGGACCTGGGGGTATTATAGAGTAATTTAATGCGCGTTTTGTGATGTTTGTTATGTGGGGGTCACTTGAGTCTGGAGGTGGGATATTTGAGTCTAAGGGGGGAAAATGTTTATACTGAAAAAGTCTTGCTGGGGAATGACTTTGGGTGTGTTGAGTTATTTGTAGGGGAGAGTGTTGGGGACATTTAAGTTGGTGGACGTTTGAGTCTGAGATCAAGTCCTGGGGAGATATGAGTCAAAGAGTCGGTGCGACTCGAGTCGATTTTCGGAAAAGTGTCGTTTCACCCGTTTGAGATAGCCTATATTGTAGAGCGTCCCCTGGCGGTCAGAAAAAGGTATAATATGTCGGGGGTCCACTTGAGTCTCAAAAAGTTATAGCCAATGTGACGAAATGGCGCAAAATTTATGAGACTCTAACGTCCCGGAGAATTTTTTTAAAATTTTTATGACGCCGGATTCGTACTCAGCGGCTGTCAGAGTACCATATAGGCCATTTTTGGGGTCAAAATTCCAAAATTTTGTCCCACCCCCTATTTCCAAAGGGGTAACCCCTTGTGGGGAAATTTCGGGATTTTTTAGGGGACCATAACTTTTTTTTGGATTATCGGATTGGGATGGTGTTTCTTTCTAAAAATACTACTAAAAATTAGATATTTTTTGATCGAAGAAAATTTCGGAAAAATTCGAAATTGGGGGTGTAGGGGTCGAATTTCGAAAACCCGAAAATTTTTCGGTTTTTCGAAAAAATTCCGGGTTTTTTGCCGGAGGTTCGGCCCGAAAGTATTTTTCCTATGTAGAGCAGATTTTTCTACATAGAATAGCTCTTTAAAACTTTCAAAAAAGTTATACTTTGAGAAAGTTACGAATTTTTTAAAAATTCGGCGATTTTTCCGGCGAAAATTTTCGGCCAAAAAAATATTTTTTTTCAAAATGGGTTTAGATGGGCAAATTACATATGAATCGAAAGCTATGACAGAGGGGAGTCTAAAAATATTTTTTCGAAAATTTTCTTTCCATTTTGGCAAAGGTTAGAGAGGGTCGAAATTTCGTGGGTGGGGGGTACCACACCCAGTGGGGTACTGAAGGAAGGGTAATAAATAAAAAAGACTTACGTTATGTTGTAGAGCGTCCACAAATACACCAAAAAACATATACTTTGTTTGGGGGGTCACTTGAGTCTGACTAAATTATAGGGGTCAGAGTTTCGGGCGTGGGGGTTTTGGGGGCCGAAGACCCCCAAACCGAGGCCGAAGGCCGAGGAGGGATCTAAACGCTGCGTTTGGGGGGCCGAAGGCCCCCCAAACGCCTCGAGTCAAACCACCAAAGCTACCTAAAGGCAAAGTATCCTTCTAAACTTTGGGTTTGGGGGGCCGAAGGCCCCCCAAACGCCCCGAATCAACCCACCTCAGCTACTTAAAGGCACAGTATCCGTCTAAACTTTGGGTTTGGGGGGCCGAAGGCCCCCCAAACGCCCCGAATCAACCCACCTCAGCTACTTAAAGGCACAGTATCCGTCTAAACGTTGGGTTTGGGGGGCCGAAGGCCCCCCAAACGCCTTGAATCAACCCACCTCAGCTACTTAAAGGCACAGTATCCGTCTAAACGTTGGGTTTGGGGGGCCGAAGGCCCCCCAAACGCCCCGAATCAACCCACCAAAGCTACCTATAGGCAAAGTATCCTCCTAAACGGTGGGTTTGGGGGCCGAAGGTCCCCCAAACGCCCCGAGTGAACCTACCACAGCTACCTAAAGGCAAAGTATCCTCCTAAACGTTGGGTTTGGGGGGCCGAAGGCCCCCAAAATGCAAAGCAAAAAATTTAAATATATTTAACGTAAATCGCCAAGCAAAAAACAAATCTAGCGTCCTTTTAAAGCCGCAGGCTTTCCACGCGCGTCCCTGGACGCGCCCCCAAACGATTCTCATCGGTCCAGAAATGTAACCAAACGCTCCCCCCAGCGTAACCAAACCCAAAAGCTACACGTCCATTCAGCTACTCACCCTTCAGCTAGTTACTAATACGAAATTACATATAAATAAATTTAAATTCTAGTATATAATAACATCGAAAGACTGTTCAAATATAGTGCCTAAAATTATTCTTTTGTGTACTGATTTTCCTAATTTTAAATTAAATGAAAGAGCAGAAAATGTTGAAGTTAAGCAAGTAGAGACGAAAAAACATACAAAATACCAAATTGCCAATATTTACGATCCAAAAGTGAAATTTGAATTTTGCACTGAAGAAGATAGTGATGAATGGAGTTTTTGTAATACAGTCGAAATAGTGAAAAATTATTGAATCTACATAGGAAACGAGTAGTAAACCCCCCCCATACGCCCACATGTCCCACTTGGACATGTGAGACGGGGGCAGGGGGATGTGTTAAGGTGTAAGGGGTTTTCATCTCCCATCCGTCCCAGTGGGACCGATGGGTGTTGGGTGACCTTGACAACAAGTACAAGCAATTCTGCGGCTGAAAGGAGATGAACAAAGGGGAAGGGGGTAGAATTTTGCCGCTATTAAACTTTCTATGTCCCAAATGTTCCAGCTGAGTAAATTAGGAGGAACTGGCGGTAAAACAAAAGGAAACCTTTGCTTGTACAAGTACAAGCAAATTTGCGGGTGGATGAAGGTGATCAAAGGGGAAGGTGTGGGTAGTCAACTGTAACTAAGTTTCTCTGATGTTCCACATGCCCCGTGGGAAATTTGAGAGGAACTGGCGGTAAATTAAAAGGAAACCTACCAAAAGGAAACCTTTGCTTGTACAAGTACAAGAAACTTTGCGGGTGAATGGGGATCATCAAAGGGAAAGGTAATATAAGTTCACGTCATTAAGTTTCTCCCTTTCCCACATGTCCCAGTGGGGAATTTGGGAGAAACTGGCGGAACTAAAAAACATTAAACAAAAAATTTAAAAATAAAGGGAAAATAAAGTTATTGATTTGTCTCCCCCAAAGGTCATTTGCGGGAAAAATTAAAAAAACAATTTTTTCATTAATTTTTCATTTTTTCGGGAATTATAACTAATTTAAATCTATTAGTTAAAAATTTATTTTCTTTATTTTTCAATTTTTTCATTTAAAATAATACGTAGATAAAGAATCTAGATCTTTTTTTTAATAAATTCTTTTTCTGCGCCGCAGGCAAAAATTTTGATCTAAATCCTAAATCTTTTATTTTTTATTTATTTTTACACATATTAAAAAATATTTTTAAGTTTAAATTTTTTTAAAAATATTTTTTAAGTTAAAATTTTATTAATTATAAATTACTGTTATTAGCGAAAGGTTAAAAACCGATACCGTCGGTTTTCAGTTATGGTCGGCTTACTCTCCCCTATGGTTTTTTCGATTTTCGGAGACCTATATCTCGGTCCACAGCTTTCTTCGCCGCAGGCAAAAATTTTGAAAAATTTGAAAGAAAATTAAGTTAAAAAAATTAAGTAAAATCAAGTAAAATTCATCCATTTTCTGCGCCGCAGCAGGCAGAAATTTTGAAAAATGGTGGGGATTTCAAACCTGAGGTGTGGACTCCGGCCTGTGGTGTGGAGCTCCGGCCCAAGGTGTGGAGCTCCGGCCACAGGTGAGGAGCTCCGGCCTAAGGTGCGGAGCTCCGGCCTACGGTTATTTCGCCGCAGGCAAAATTTTTAAAAATTTTGGATGCCAAGAACAAAATTCTTGAAAGTCTAACTATTAGAAGATAAAATTCACGTAAAGTTAGGCAATAGAAGATAAAATGGTGTGATGATAAGAGATGGAAGGTGTAGATTTTGAGGATGTTGCTGTAAAGTTAAGCACTAAAAGATAATATGGATGTAAACTTAAGGATTACAAGATAAAATTGATGTAAAGTTAAGCAATAGAAGAAACAATTGATTTAATGCTAAGAAATGAAAGATGTAGGTTTTGGGGGTAGAAATGCAAACTTAAGCATTAGAAGCTACAATTGCTCTAAAGTTAAGCATTAAAAGATACAATTGTTCTAAACTTAAGGAACATAAGATAAAAATGATGTAGAGTTAAGAAAAAATCACACATTTCTGTAAAAAAAAAGTCAAAAATATTTGCGTTTCCACGCTACTGGCGGTTGTGGGAGATGGTAGCCATTAGACGTGCAATTTGGCTGCGGAATGTGCCGTATACATATGTTTCCTTAAGGCGCGTTTTTTTCTGGCTGCAAGGGGAGGTTTCTTTGGATAAATATTTGTTGTATATAGTTATTATGAAGATATATTGTACTTGGTGGGTTAAAATCAGTAAATTCATTTTCATTAAAATAATATCTTTATCTTAAAGTAATCATAAAGTTAATCTGTATTGAGAAAGAAAATTCACTATTTAAATTCAAAAAATTAATTAATAAAAATAAGTATTTGAAAATACAACAATTAAATACAATAAATAATATTTAAAATGCTAAGATTTTCGATAATATTAACAATTATTCCATTAATAGTGGTGGCTGAAAATTGGGACGGCAAAGCCGGAAAGAGAGAATTGGTGACAACATTATATCGGAGGACGCCACTACCTATATGGCGAAGGACACCACCACCAGTATTTCCTAGCAAAAATGAAAATAATTCAGTGGAAATACCAATATGGCGGAAAACACCGCCACCAATACTTGCCAATAACACTGCACATAATTCGGTGCCAATATGGAGAAGGACACCGCCACCAATACTTCCCAATAAAACTACACATAATTTGGTGCCGATATGGAGGAGGACACCACCACCACAAACATTATTTCCAAACAGAGATTTAAATAATTCAGAGGAACTTCAACGAGGCAATAAATTAAGAAATAAATCATTGGATAAAACTGATGGAGGGGAAATGAAATGGTTTGTAAAGGATATATATTATCCGAAAGAGAAAGATTTAGCCAGACAAAGAGAAATAAAAAATATGGGGCGATGGATCCTACGTTGGGACCTTTATGACAACAAGTTCAAATTCGGAAAAGCTAATAGAACAGATTACTTAATGTATTCAAGATGGCGATTTTTATATGAACCTCCTATTTCAAACATTATCGATTTTTTTAATAATTTGTAAATCTATTTTTTAATTTTATCATTTTTTATGTAAATTTATAATTTTTTAATAAATATTTAAATAAAATAAAATTTTCGAATAAATTAATCAAAATATATCAAAACATTGCGTTTTTCCCATTCGTTGAGTTTACCTTCTATTTCAATCCAGACTATTCCTCGCCTCGATTTCCCATTAGTGGGTGTAGGAGGTAAGCTTCCGTCGGAAATTGGAATACTATTGAGAGTAAGTGTTGATGATGACGAAGTTGCATGTGTACGTCGAGCCCCGAATTCTGAACAACTTATTTCTGACGGGGGTGATTTAGGAGCAAAACATACAAGCTCAAGCGGGAAGTATCTTTCGCAAATTCCATTCTTTGTACAAGTTCTTACTATAACACATTGATGGAACGGATATTGGAGTTTTATTTTGTGATGCGCAAAAAAATATGCCGCAACCGATATATTAAATGGATAACTTAAATCTCCGAAAGCCTTGATTAAATGAGCACCTGATGTTGTAATTCCGTCACATCGAATTGTATATTTCAATCCGTTCCTATCAGAATATTTTGTCTCTATCTTTCCTTTTTCATTTATAAATTTTGCGATCAAATCGGCATTTTCTTGATACATTAGTTTAAATCTCACCAAATAACTTGGACAGTTTAACTTTTTAGCAATATCATCCAAAATAGAATTCATTTTATTGATTAATTCAGATATTATTTAAATGAGCAAATGGTTTATTATACTGACAAGATAAAAGTCAATCTCAGCTTTTTATACTCAAAAAATTTGCCTTGAAAGTTGACTACTCCTACAAAATTTAAAAAGTGGGCGGGACTTGCTGGAGTATATAAACCATGAGATTTCTCAAGTCTCGTTGATTTCTTCATTCATTCTTCTAAATTTATATTTAAAAATAAAATAAAAATGAGCGGATCAAAGAAGGAAAAGATCCCAAAGCTCGAATTAGCTATTGAGCAAAAAAATGATAAAGAGGAAGAGATAATAGAAGTAGAAGTAGAAAAGAAAAAGGTCAATAAGGCAAAACCCCCTACTACGATAGTAAATAACGGGGAAATTGAGAAGAAGAGTGGAATAAACCCGCGTATTTTGTGGAAACTCGTGCGTATGAAGGATACACCGAGGATTGAGATTAGAATTTGCAGAAAATGTGCCATTGCACTCTATAATGATAAAAATAAATTCACTCAGAAGGAGAATGGAAATATTGGAATTTGTTTAGAAATTTGTGAAGTATGTGCCAAATTGAACATGCATCTGAAAGATTTTGCTGCTGACTGGGATGAGAAGAATTTAAAGAACTTTAAAAAGTGATTACAAATTAATATATTTATTAAAATTGCTGTTACCATATTTATTTTTATTTCATTAATTGTAATAATTTAATTTTAGATAAAAATTTTGAAAAGTTATATTATTTATTAACATAGGAGAAATTTCTAAAAAATTTTAATCAGACTTTTCCGTAGGCCACGCCCATTTCAAAATCTTTTTTAGGGTTACGTCCATTTCAAAATCTTTAGTAAAAAATCATTCATCAGGATAAACTAGTTTATTTCCAAAAATCCAAAATTTAAAATGAGACGCTACGCCGATCAATTTAAAGTGAACATGATAGTATTAGTAAAGAACAAAAATAAATATGGAAAAAATGTATGGCTTTCAGGAACGATAATCGATATGGCTGGTAAAAAATGTAAAATATCGGTTCCTCGATTGAACTCTATTATTAGAAGATATGTTTGGCAGATCAAAAAATTTAAATTTTCAATTGTAAACCTCCGTTCTGAAGAAAGAACAATTATTAAACTATTTGATAAAATGAGTTTAAATGGCCAACAGAGAGCTAGGAAATAAGTGTGGCCTTGACAACACTAAAAAAGGAGTAAAAATCTTTTCTAGTCTCATTTTAAACAATTAAATTAAATTAAAAATGTCAAATTTATTGGAAAATATTTAAAAAAAAATTGGATTGTACTGTGGAATCTGTGCGTTTTAAACTAACAAATAATTCTGAAAGATTGTAAAAATGAAAGATTGTAAAATTCTTGATGATATTAAGGGAAAAGCTTTGAAGACAATCTACTTTCATAAAAGCGGCACAAAAAGGATTATATTCTGCGATGGAATTACTACATTAGGTTCTCATCAAATAAGGGCATATGGAATGGAATTTAAAATTTTCCGTTTGGGGATCAGAGGATTTATTCTTGCCTTCTAAACTTTCAAGAAGTTTCGATTTTAGATTTCCACAATATTACACTTTATATTTTCAATCATTAATTAATATTTAATTTTAAATTAATTCAATATTTTTATAAATTACGAATTGTTGCATTTTTGATTTACGAATTACGATTAAGAATTTTTAAAAAAATTTTTGTAAATTTCTCTTTAAAAATCCTTTATACTAAATTTTAATAAAAAGTAATACTTAAATTAATACTATAAAAAGATAATACTTAAAAAACTTACTTAAATTAATTTTTAAATTTCAATTTAAAATTACTAGTTATTAATTGAGAATATTAATAATCTATTTAAACTTAAAAGCTATTTTATCTAAATAATTAATCATAAAAATTAATATAGGGTTTTAACGAAAAGTTATCTAAATTTTTGATCAAAATAATATTTTTTATTTTTTTCTTGCGAATCTTTTATTAAAGAATTAATAAAACAATTTCTAATGGAGAATATGGAAAAATTCTGAAATTGAATTTTCTTATTAAATTATCCTGATTATCTTTATGGCTGATAAGTAAGTAAAAAAGACATACTAGTAAAAAAGACATAAATAAAGCTTTATATTTTATATAAAATATAAATTTTCAGTAAATTCAGCCTGCCGCGTTATAAAAGGATGAAATATGGCTTTATGAACATCCAAAATTCTAAAAATTTTCACCTGCGGTGGTGTATATTGAATGCAATATAGAATGCTTAGAATGGTTATTTAGTTATTGTCAATTTAGTATTGATAATTTAGTTAAAATTTATTAAATATATTAATTAATTAAATATATTCTTGATAGTTTAGTTAAAAGCCGCTTTAGTGAAACCAAAAAATTTCTGTAAACCTTTTCAACATTATGATAAAAGCAAGTAAAAATTCAGGGTTCACATCTGAACTTTTTAAAAATCTAGAATTTTGACCTAAAAATAGCATTTTATCAAAAATCCGCAGAAAATTATTAAAATCATTAAGACCATAAAATTAATTAAATATATTCTTGTAATACAAAAAATAATCTCATAATCTTCAAAAGAACCTTTTCAACATTATGATATTTAAAAATATTCCTCACTGATTTTCTAGGAAAACACAAATTTTTACTTATTCCTATTAAAAATTATAATATTTTTGTTTAATAAACTTAATATACATATTATATCTCTTATAACAATTGCTTTAATAAAAATCTAATTTTTTTCTTTGTTTTCCCACAGAAATTTTGAGCTTCTAAAGCAAGGCATAACCTCATACAATTTACAACATATTTAAAAATTATGGCAATAATTTGAAAAAAATTTTAATGCAAGCAAGATGTAAATGTATGAAATCGCCCCATAATGACTAAGTAAGGTTGGAGGACGATACCACAGGTGCACTCTTAATTCTCCCTTTAAGAAAATTTTTGTGAAAATATTTTAAAAAATTAGGATATTTTAAATATTTCTATTTTATATTAACATTTTTGTGTAAGTTATAAATTTTTTTCTATTTGCTTCCATTTTAGTGAAAATAATTTTGATAAAAACCTAAGAAAATTGAAATTTTTAGGAAATGTTAACTAGGAAAGTGTGGAAAAGTGGGAAAATTTAAAGGGTTTCAAAGTTTATGTCGACAGAGCTCCGGCCTAGGGTGTGGAGCTCCGGCCTAGGGTGTGGAGCTCCGGACTTATGAGCTATTTTAGAATTGATTTATATGTAATAAAATAAAATGAAGTGAAACTTCCCTTTTTATTAGCAAAATCCAGCCAATGATGACAATATACCGAACTTTACATATAGTAATATAGTATAATTTTAAGGTTGATTTGGGTAAAACGTCGTTACAAATTTCTTAAATTTCAAAAACTTTGTGGTTTTTTCACTTATTATGTCTCTATGTGTCTTTTATCTTTTATCTTTATTAAATCTTATTTTGTGAACTTTGACTTTAAATAATCCATAACTTACATAAATCCTAACTTTTAAACCATAGCTTTACAATAATCTTAATTTTTATCTTTAACTTAACATTTATTTTAACTCTTAATTCTCAATCATAATTATAATTCTTTTAATTTTAATAGTTTTATCGTCAAACATATAAATACAATTAAAATAATAAAGTACAATGATAAAATTGAAGTAATTGTGAAATAATAAAATTGAAAACATATTTTGGAATATTAAATTACAATTCAATAAAATACAAAATGAATGAAAAATATGTTTTGGATTACTAAATTACAATTCAAAAATTTGTAAAATTTTAATACAATTGAAAGAATATTGTTAAAAAATTATTTTTGTCCAAAATTTACAATTTTGTTGTCATTGGAAATTATTCCTTTTTGAATTATCGGTTTAAAAACTTTTCTCATTTTAGTAGAATAAACCATACCATCCTTCAAGTTTCGACGAATAAAGTTTGGATTTTCCACTGTAATTGTCCCTTTATCAAAATCATCATCTTCCTCACTGTCAGCTCCCCCATTTGCATATTGAAGAACACTATCCTTAAAACTGTCAAAGTGTAAAATTTTACACACGTCAGCTGTTAGAGTGATTCCACGTACTTTAAGCACACAGCTTATTTTGGCATTTTTATTACTTTCCATTTTCAGTGCGTAAGCCTTACACGCACCTCCAACATATTCTTTTATTTCAGATCCAGCATACTCCCTTGCCAAATCACCTAGGTGAGGACCTGTTTGAAGAGGGCATTCGAAGCCCTTTGGATGTGAAAAAAGTATGCTGTCTGTGTCTCCATAGAGAAGATTGCAGCCTGGTGAGTCAGCGACCTTTTGCATCGCCTTCAATAGTCTAATTCTTGCAGCCGATGTTGTCCATAAGGATAACACCATGTTTGATGTATCATGCTCTACAATAAATTCTTCCTTTTGTTTGTAAGTCAACAAAATTGTTTCCTTAGTCAAAGTATCGATAGTTTGAATATCAATTGAATTGTTGTTATCATATTCTCCGAGTTCAATAGGGCAGTCGATGACTACACTTTTTGATAGACCATTTCTTAGACTAAACCTTCCCCATAGAGAGTTTAGCATCAACTTTGATATGTAACGCATAGCCTTATCAGGGACCATTTTCTCTCTTTGAAGCTCAATTCCGAATTTTTCTCTACATTCTTTCATAAACTTATCCTCATTTTCTTTTCCTTCTATTCCTTCAGGAAACCCACTCGCATGAATTTTAATAGCCATAAATTCGGCAACATAATTTTTGAACAAATTATCATCCCATTTCTCATAATGAAGCGCCCTATAAAACCTTGTAACTCTGTACCCAGCGTTTAAAGCTTCTTCCAACTCTATAGAGGTACATGTTGAGACCCATCCCCTCTCATCGTCATTGTGTGGGCAACTATAATCTTTGATATTTGCACCATTCGGGTATCCAAGTGAGCATTTTCTGCATAACGGAAAAAGTAGTCGTTCATCAAATTTGACTGGAATAACAGGAACTTCCAACTTTGTTGGTGGTAATATAAATACTTTCAAAATTCCTTTGAAAGGAATTTGCTCACTTCTTGTCCAATAAACTTGTTGTTCAGCTAGAGGTACAACATACACTCTCGGATGCCCAACCGGAAATGATGTTGTAGCAATTGTTGACGGGTAAAGCGAATTAAAGTCCAAGTAGGCAATTTTGTGATTTTCTTTGTCTGCATCAAAGTAGATTTGTAGAGGACCTGTCCTTCCGCCAAAATAGCAATCTCTAATCTTTATTGGACCTTTGTTGTGGTAATTTGCAAAAACTTTCCTCATTTTCTTGTTGCGGCGAAGCATCTGATGTATCTCGCATTCCCATATAATATCAACATTTTTAATATATTTTTTAATTATTTCCAAGCGCTTAAAATCATCTTCACGTGTTTCTCCCACAGTTTTTCCATTGGGTAAAATTTTATTCAAATCATCTCCAAAACATTTTTGGCATGCGTGCCAAACACAACCATTTATTTCAATTGCCCTATCTTCTGTCACTATATACCCATCAACCTTGTATTTTCCAGCTACCACATGTTCACCTCCTTCGGAATGGGCACTTTGGATTTGCACTCCTTTTAATTCCTCGTACCATTGCAAATATTTCAGGGCTAGTTCACTTTGGTTATCACAATTTTCATAGCCTTTTTCGGGAACAATTGCCAAATGATCAGGTTTCAAATGGTTGGTCCGAAAATGTCTCATACAGGCTGACGCAATGGTCATTGCATCACGTAAAATATCTATTCCCTCTGCTTTTGTACCAGGAGCAATATTTTTCTGCTTGCTTATTTCTGCGAATTTATTCTTGAAGGCAATTAACGCTTCTGTGAGTATTTGTACGTCATTTGTACAATATTCAGCCAAGGCTTCATCCAAACAAAATTGCTGGTCTTTTTCTTTTTCATACCATTGATCAAATTCGTTTTGCTTTTCAGGTGACATTCCTCCATACAAATACTCATCTTTTGGAGGTAGTTTTTGCAGGATTTTTCCATAATTTTCGCGCACATTTGCCAGATGAGGGAAAAATTGTTTTTCAGTAACATTTAGTCCAAATGCACCAACTAACTTCCCCAAGGCGACTGGACAGAGATTAAATGAATCTCGAAATATAACCTCATTGCATTTCTTGTTACGTGGAATTTTTAATTCATAAAGTTTGTTACCGCGACGAATCATTGTCGGAACAACACCTTTCAAATAAATTTCTTTGAAAACCATAATCATATCGTATCGGCCTCCATTGTGTGAAAATGCCATAGTTAAATATTGAGGATTGAGTTCAAACAGAATCCATTGAATAAAGTCTTTAAGTGGCTGCTGCGTGATGACTTGCTCATCGACTGTTGTTTGTTGAAATGGACGATGTGAAAATGTGATTGATCGATTGGATCCGCAGATTATACAATTGTTCCCAGCATTTTTCAGTGAGGAACGCCATTTTTGCTCATCTTCCATACACTTTGTACAAGTTACTGTTGCGGCGATGAAGTTAACTTTA